TTCTCCATACGGCATCTTATCATCTGCGAGTCCAGCCTAAGCTTTTTTACGGCAGGGTGGCTGGCTTCCCCAGAGACAGAAAGCAGAAACTGCCAGGCCTTGTCAGAGGTAGGCCCAGAATGGCAGTACCTGCTGCCTTCTACTTGTCTAAGGAAGTCACAGGTCTCAAGGCAGGAGGAGGGAAGGACAGGAAAAGCATCACTGCAAAGGCAGGTGGGATGGGAGAAATCGTTGCAGTTGATGGAAATGATCTACTGCACTCTTTCAAACATAAGCACCATTTAAAACAATGAAAACGGAAAGGTTAGTTCAAAAGAAAAAAAAATAAAGCATTTAAATAATGACCTCATCCATTATTTTACTAATTGTTTTTCTCTCTTTTGATCATTAGTCTAAATCTGGTCTTGAACCTTTTCACCTTTTGAAACCACAGACACTACTGTGATAGCCTGGAATTGAAGCTGCAAGAAAAGTTCAGATAAAGAATCAGAAAAATATTCCGATGAATTGAAAGAAAAAGAATCTTACAGCCTCAAAGGAAAGTTGTAAAGATGTTCTCAGGACTAAGCATCTAGCCGGTCAGACTGGAAAAGATTTTGCTAGTTTTTCCATTTGTGAAAGTTCCAAGCCCAGAAGTAAAGTTGCTGTGCCAGCTGTGCAGATATTCCAACTGATGGGAAGTTAAATAAGAAGTTCTGAAATGTATATGTGAAGATGAGTTTTTCTTACCTAAATGCAAAACATTAGACAATGAACGAATAGCTGAGTTAAAGGGAAATAAGGAGACAGAAGTATTTCTAACTTTTATTAAAATAAGCTAAGGAACATATTCAGCTTAAGTTACATATACAAATATAATGTCACCAAAATATTTATTCCCACACTAACATTTTCTAAATATCTTAAGCTAAAATTTAAAAATGTTATATATTTATATAGTTAACATAATACAACTGGAAAGGCTTTGTAGGGAATTGTTTCTAGAGCATATATTGCCATTGTGCTAATTATCAAATGCTAACTAATATACAGACATAATTTCATGTGATTTGAAACGTATTCTAAAATAGTAAGTAGGCACACAGGTCCTCAATGGACAATATTGAGAGAGATGATTAGTGACTAGTGTTCACAACAGAAAGGAAACACTTTAACTTTATAAATACAAGTCATTTATATGCCTGTTATAATTAGGGTAACAATTCTCAGCTTGAGTATATTATAGGTTAAATATAAAGTTGACTGTGCCCAAGTCCCTGCTGCTGAAATATAAAACAAGTATAATTCAGATATAGTTGTAGAATTTCATTAAGTTATCATTTACTGAAACTACTAAAAGTTTTACTGAGGTTAGAAATGTACTAAATGTTCTTTGCCTTAATGGTTATCTTAAATTAATGTCTCACAGCACATGTGTCATTTCTAAGCTAATCAGTGTTAGATTAAAACATCAAAAATGATTATGATTACACATTCTGCATTTTAAAAGCACAACTTTATTATTTACATTCAATTCTAGTGATAATTAGCTTTGAAATCCACTTCAGGCCCTGGCCAGCATGGCTCAGCGGTTGAGCATCGGCCTGCGGACCAGAGAGTCCCAGGTTCGGTCCCCGCTAAGGGCATGTACCACCCCCCCCCCGAAAAAGAAATCCACTTCAGTTTATAAAATTTACCACCATGAGAGGGCTGTTAGCAAACTGCTATTGACTTGCTAGAACTAGCAGGGGGTAGTTGTGTGCATGTTTGTGTGCGTGTGTGAAAGAAATCAAGCAAGCGAGAGATGAGAGAGAGAGAAGTAAAGAGCTCACTGAGCTCCTGGCTAGATCATAAACACCCAAATTGACCTTGGTATTATTAATGAAAAACAATCTGTAGAAAGCATCTTCTCGCGGTAGGTATGTCCAGTACACAAAGCTGAAGAGGAGCTTAGATCTGGTTTAGATGATCTAAGGAGCCTGAGATCATCTACTCTCTTACTATACAAATGAGAAAATGAAGGCTCAGAAGATTCATGTCTACACAGAGTTCCAGGCCAGGCCTAGAAGCTGGTGTCCTAACTCCTGGAATAACATATTTCTATTACTCTCTAACTACTGCTCTTAAAGATGTTTAGTTGCCTACTAAACCAAGAATGAAGTTGTTGGATGAAAGAGTTGAATTTAAGACAAACACATATGCATGTACCCAGAACATTAACCTGTGAGGAGTATTTTATCTTTATGTCTTAACTATATGCATTAAAAATCTGTATATTTGTGACTCATCTAGTATCTTACACTGACTCCTCAATTTTGTCTGTTTATGACATTTTAGAAACATTCCTCTTCTGGTAACATATTTTAATTTTTAAAAACCTGAGGGGGAGAATACTGTGCCATTTGCTCTAAAACCACGGTGGAAACCATTGATGGTGATAAATGCCTAACACAGTGATATTTTTTTGAAAAACAAAACAAAACTGTAATTCTATGGCAAGTAAGCTAAAGAAGTATACAATAGTTTGAGAACTAAATTTTTGTCCAAATAACTTATTTTCGTCTGTTTCGTAGCTCGGGGAATCTGTAAGCGTGTGACACAGTCCGACGACGGAAGGGGGACATCCACTCTGCTCACCTCTTCCTTCCCTGCCTGAGAGTTCTGTGTTTACCCTTCACTCAACCATCTCCCCAATCCCAAGCATTCAAAAGGCTCTTGAACACAACTTTTAATGCTTCCGTCTAGTTAAAAATAATCTTCAAAAAGTGGCCCCCTAAAAGGGCTTTGTGGTTGGGGCAAGTAGGCATGACTACATTCAAAGGTCGTCAGGACCGAAACGGTGACTAAGGACAGGCCAGGCAAATCGGCTCGGGGGCTGTGACATGTCCTCTGCCGGGCCGTATTTCCTTCTTCCCCAAGCAGCAGGAGCACTATGAGGAAGTTAAGTCTTGATTTTTAATTCTCTGTAAAGTGCTCTGCAATTAAAAACCAACAACAACGGTGTGCAGATTCCTAGGTACATGTGCAAAGTCAGAGGAAACCGGGGTCCACGGGGTCCCCCCGAGGTGGAGAAACAGGAGTATTCAGGTGGTGTCACTCACCATGACAGCACAGTCTTTGTGCAGCACCGAAAAAAGAGCTATATAAATAAATTAAAAAGCTGGCAAGCGGCACGGGCGAGACAAGTCCCGGGTAAGCCAGAAACTGCAAGATTGTGAAGGAGAGGCTGATCCTGTGGGCTTCTGGGAGGAGCCCGGGGCAAGACGATTTACTGAGCATAAGTTCTACAAAAGTGATGACAGTTTGGGTACTGGACGCAGACGCGTGACTGTCTTGCATGTGGCTGAGAAATGCAGGGGAGTCTGTGGAGCACAGAGGCGAGAAGTATGCACGGGAAACAGTGGAGGTGCACTCCGGGATCTGTGCGCCTGAGCCACTCAGGCAGCAGCAGTGCTGGTGGCCCGGGTCACTCAGGGGAAGTCAAGCATGCAAACGTCATCAGAAGAGTATCGTTCTTTGTGGTCCTATGACTGCATTAGAACATTTTTCTAAGTATTGCATGCTTTCTGCTCTCCAGTGATACATAAATGATGGATTTGTCTAAGGGAAAAATTTTGAGAAATGCTAGTTTAAATTCTTTTTTTTTTTTTTTATCCTCACCTGAGGACATTTTTCTATTTTTTGTTCAGATAGAGTGGGGGGGAGAGGAAGAGAGAGAGAAACATCGATGTGAAGGGACACATCGAGTGGCTGCCACCCGCACGACCAACCAGGGCCGGGGACAAACTGCAACCAAGGTACATGCCCTTAGCGGGAACCGAACCCGGGTCTCTTGGGACCGCAGGCCGACGCTCTAACCGCTGAGCCAAACCGGCCAGGGCTAGTTTAAATTCTTAAGTGTAAGCAAAAACAAGGGAAGGCAATTACCCTCCCAATCTCTGACCAAAACTCCAGTGTTGTCTGAGGCACAATTACACGCAGAATGGGGAATGGACTCGTGCTGCCCCATTTCCGCGTGTGTAGCATATATACACATAATAAGAGCTCAAGGAGCAAGAGGTTTGGCAGTAAAGACGCTTACATGATAAAAACATAATGAAAACCAAAAAGAAACTTTTAGCAAAGTTGTCTTTTATATTTTATTTCTCATTTTCTTTGTACCTGTATCATCTTATTAAAAACTGAAGAAACATACAACTCTGAAGAGGCACGCTCTTGACAATAAGATGAAAATAAGACATCCCTGGCAGCTTATGTTCACACTCAGAATGTTAAGTGGGCCAAATAAGCCCACTTAGACTGTCCTTCCAGAGAGCAAAGAACTATTGCTTAGATGCCATAAATCTTTAGTCGAGAGATGCTCCCTAATAACTGAGTGAGATTCTCCGGAAGTTTATAAGCCAGGTTTGTAAGTGCAATACACTTTTAGAGATGAATATAAGGTATTATTGCTTTCTTTTTTTTTCTTTATTGATTTAGAGAGAGGAAAGGAGAATGAGAGACAGTTAGAAACGTCAATGAGAGAAAACATCGATTGGCCACCTCCTGCATGCCCCCCACTGGGGATTGGGCCCACAACCTGGGTATGTGCCCTGACCGGAGGTTGAACTGGCAACCTCTTGGTGCATGGGTCGACGCTCAACCACTGAGCCACAATGGCTGGGCTACTGTGTTTTCTTAAATTTATGCCTAGAGTCTTGGTATCAAATACAAGGAATTTTTGGAAATACGTGTATTTGCAAAATGTCTGGGCGAGCATGCCAAACCTAGGAGCAAAAAAAGAGCTAATGAAATCATCTTAATATTTATTGATAGGAACATCATTCTTTTGTGTTTTTATGCCAGACAGGGATAGACAGCCCAGTGCTATGATTTTACATGAGTTCCTTGTTAGCAAACTAAAGGTGCTTTAAATATTCTGTATCATTCTTAGATGTCCAGGATAACAAGCATCTACTAAGATGCTTCACAATTTATTATTATAAATATATGTATGTATACATGTACATATGTTTGTATGTAGGTAGGTAGGTCTGAAGTATACTTGGGAAAATATCCCAATGTAAACTGGGCTCACTATTGTGTTTTGTTTGTATGCTCCTTTTTTTTGGTAAGAGACACAAAATGAAGATAACGGAAAGATAATTTTCCTGGTCTCAGAAATGTTTACAAACTTGATCGTGATGCACAGGTCCAGGCCAGCACAAGTTCACAGATGCTGTGGATGCAAATGTTTGCAGGAGAGTGTTGATAATAAACTATTCAGAAAATACACCCAGGAGGACAGGCTTAGGTACTGAGATTTAGCCAGGAGGAGAAAAGGATAAGAAGCCAGGATGTACCAAAGAATAGCATTAGAATCAGCAGTCAGTTATCCCAGGGTATTATGAAGATGGTAATTCCTTGTCGCTTATCCACTATTTGCTACATAAATATACAAAATTTTCTCAAGCTAGCTTTAAAAATAGAAACGTCAGTGTCTCATGAGACAGAAAGATTCCAGACAGTCTGCCCTGGAATCAAGGAATAAACCTAGATGACATTTCAAGGTTCCCTTCCTACACCAATATAAAAACACAGTAAAATACCAGCATTACTCAACAGACCTGGTGACAAAAAGAGTGAATTAAAAAGCAGATACAGAAACAAACACAAACAATGGCGAGGCAAGTTGTCTGATCTTACTCTAAGACATTATGTGGTCAGCTGAAGCAAGATGATATATGCAAATCTTTTTCATAAATCAAAGTATAAGCCCACCAATGCTCAATATGAATCGCCTCAAGAGGGGCTGCTATGATGAAACTGAAAATAACTCCTCCACCCGTGCAGTTTCAGACTTTGTCACATTTAAAGAAAATGTTCTAAAAGATAAAGTTGGCATGTGAAAAGCATGGGCAGAGGAATCAGTAATGATCAGAGCAAAACAATTCTAGAAGGCATCTTAATTTTCATATGGCTCATTTGCATTTGAAACACTGAGAATTCCTATCTCGCTGTACAAAAATGTGTACATATTAAATTACTTTCCACTTGAAGGAACATTTTCCTAAATGTTTGGAAGATGATCAAATTTTAATTGGAGGACTTGTTTTCTTCCATCAGGTGTGGGGGAGGTGTGGCTTCCTGGTATGAGAGGCAACAGTTGATTCTAATAGCAGAACAAGAGAAAAATAACAAAGCAAATTGAAACAATTCCTATTTGTACAGTTTGATATAAAGGTGGCCAAAAAAGGATACATATGGTACAAAGATGTCAAAAGACATGAGTTTGAAAACTAAGTAGAGATACCTTTCTAAAAATTGTGAGATTCTGATATTTGAAAATTAGATTCTATTACTTATTCTAGGCTTCTCATGGATGTACTCTAATTTATTTCAATACACACATTTCTGAGCATCTAATCAGCATTTAAAAGATGAATGCTCACCACCTATTAAACAATAATTCTAACAGTCTACATTGTGCCCATCGCAAGATTTAAAGTTTAGGATATTAATTTTAGGGTACTAGCAGGACAGCAAAGATTAAAAATCTCTTTACTGTCAACTTTAAACAATATTTAGTCTGCAGGAATTCCTTGGTCATCCACTCAGAGATCCAGAAGTTGGTATTGAGGTAGAAATCTGGACTCACCACACGAAACCACACGGAATGAAAAGATCTTTCTGAAAGACAGTGGCTTGTGTTTGGATAGGCAAGGTGACTAGGCAGGAGCTGGGTGCTCGAGAAGAAAGCCAGGACTTGGAGGATGGCCCTGCCTTCCTCTTGGCCTTGCTCTCCGGGCCCTCACTGGTGGAGAGGTGTCTAGGCACTGTCTCATGGTGGGTGCTCCGGGGGCCACCACACGGGGGGGGGGGGGGGCAGGATGCAGCGGACTAGGACAGAGAACGTGACGTAATCGTTGGAAAGGAGAGTATCCAGGAGCCCGCTGCTCTTTGCGTTTCTTTTTCTTCTGTTTTCCTGGCTCTCGGGGAAAGTCTTCTGCAAGTCCCTGATCTTTACCAGTGGGCTCCAGGATAGTAAGGAATGGGGAGCACAGCTGTGAACTGGAGACTTAAAGGGAGAGCACACCCCCACCCCATTCGAGGACAGTGTGGCAGAACCTGACTCAGGAACCAAGAGGCAGGATGGAGCAGTGCCCTGTCCGCCCTCCCAGGCCAAAGGGGAAGAATCTAGTGAGACGTTTTTAAGGGGACAGTGTTTTTACACACACGTCACACTGTATTTCAGACTGCTGCCTCAGACTTATTTAAACAAACCCTAATCACTTGGTTAAGCAAACTGCATTGGGCTTAACTTGCAAACACATATCTGTAACAGTAAAAGGTAAAATGATCTACATAATACAAATTTGGAGACTCATAGATTTTGTACACACAGAAATCATCTTAACATTTCTTCTTATTAATTCATTTAATCTTTCTCTCCCAATAAACTTCTATTTTAACGATCAAATGGTTGGAAAAAACAAAAAACAAAAAAAAACTGCTTTCTTCCTTTATGGTGATATGCTGATGAGAAGATAATGACCAAAAAATAGATCAAAGGTACACAAATGGGATGATTGTCAGTCTCTGATAAATTAAAAATTACCATCTTGGCTTATTAATAAGCAGTGCTCACTAGTTATTTTGGATCATCTTTATTAAGGACCTTCTTATGTGACAGGTATTGTTCTAGGGACTGGGGATATAAGATGGGGGAACAAACCTCAAACAAACTTACTTCCATGAACTTCGTATTAACTTCAAGGTTTTCTGAAGGCAAGTAAAAAGCAGTTGCCTAATAAACTGCAGAATCAACATTTGCCATCATTTTTACCATGTTTTTCTGCAATACTGATACTGGCAGATCTAAGGACAGGATTTGGTTCCCAGATATCTGAGCTTCATCCCTTGTATCTGGCCAGAGTTGTTCTTGTCTTCGAGGGAAAATCCAGGAAAGGCAGACTTAGGTGCCTGCCCCGGGAGAAAAGGTGGAAAGGCCCCGGGGTTCCTCTGCAATGGCCATTTAAATTCAGTCCCGCTGCAATCAGGGTTGTATTGTATGAAGCTCTTGTATTTTGGGTACGTGCTCTGGCGGGTAGGATATCCAATCAGTATAACAAAAGAACTCTACAATAATATGATGTAAGTGTGTTTGGAATAAGACTTTGTAACAATCTGGATACTTTCATAGCTTTATGATTTTATTACATCAACCAGTATTTATTTATTAGGTAAACAAATACAACTAAACCAGTGCAAAGATAAGGTTTTGGTGTCCACCTAGTCTCACTTTGAAAGGTAGAAAAAGGAAAAACAAATAATTTTTATAGTACTTTTAACTTTTGAATGGAGGTACCTGCTGACGCCTTCTGTTTCTTCCTTCATTACGTGTTTTTCTTTTAATTTGGTTCTCTTGGAAGGAATCAAAGTAGGGGCTCTCTAGGAGTTGGGCACAGGTTAATCTGTCATCCGGATTCATCTTCAGACACTCCTTTGAATGAAAAGCAAAGAAGCTATTAAAAGAGGGGCCTATGTTGTTCCTGTGCCCCAAAACTCTGAGTAACTGGATAGAACGACTGTGAGTTTAGAAAATCAAGTCTATATGCTATCCAGTACTTACAGCTTGTTAATAACCATGGTCATCTCTATTTCTCCATCACTTCACTGTGGCTGCTGCATCCACAGTTCCACTTAAGTGGCTCTTGTTATTCACACCTATGACCTCTACTTCCCTATCCTTATATCTACTTCCATGTTTTGCATTCGATTCTCAATAGCGTTAGATACTACTGACCATGTCCTCTTCTTCCAACTCTTCTTTTGGCTTCTCTCTGATGCTTCACTTTCCTTCCTTCTCCTCCTCCTCCTACTTGGCCACTCCTCTTCAAACCAACCTTTCCCAGTTTACATTCTTCTCCACAGTGGTTGCATGAAATTCCTCAAGGCTCGATCCCAGGTTCCCCTTTCTTCTCATTTGTTCTAAGTTTCTAGTTAATTTCACTGATGCTCAATGGCTTTGGTGGTCAAGGTTTACCAGAGACTTCCACATCTATGTTTTTGGTCCAAAGCTCTCCTTTGAAATCCAGACCCACAAGTGCAATGGCCACTTAATATCTCTGCTTTCTCTCATGAGCACTGTTATGGATTGAACTATGTCTCCCCAAAATATATGTTAAAGTCCTAACCCTCATAATGTGACCTTGTTTGGAAACAAGGTCTTTGCAGGTGCGATTAGACAAGATGAGGGCATACTGAAGTAGTGCAGGATTTACTCCAACACGACCGGTGTCTTTATAAGATGGAAGACACTGCAAAGTCAGACACACACAGCAGACATCATGTGAAGACAGGCAGAGACAGGATTCTGCTGCCAGAGCCCAAAAATGCCTGGGACTACCAGAGCTGGAAAAGGCCAGGAAGGACCCCGCCCCAGAAGCTTTAGAGAGAGCATGGCCCTGCCAACGCCTTGGTTTTGGAGTTCTGGTCTTCACAATTGTGAGAATAAATTTCTGTTGTTTTTAGCCACCCAGTTTCTGGTACTTTGCTACGACAACCCTGGTACAGACACCTCTTCTTTCCCCACTTCCTCTGCTTCACTCACCAGATCTAAATGATCATCAAGTCCTATCAGTTTTATTCCCAATTATACCTTGCATTCATTCACTTCCTTGTATGGGCTTTCAGCCTACTGAAATAAAGTCTCACTAAAGACCTATGGGTTTGTTTTTTAAAAAGAGCATTTTTAGATTCTAAGAGACTGTCAAAGTTGAGCTGCTCCATGGACCTGAGCTGAAACAATGTCCTGCTTGATTAGTTTTAGATGAACTGACATGAACTGGATGGAGCTGAGGCTTCTGAGTTCTTGACTGCCTGATTAATACCTTTCTGTACACCAAGAGGCTGATAATTCTCAGATATGCTCCCTGATCACAGTGCTCCTAACCTAGGAAAGGTTTTATTTATTTATTTTACTTTATTTTTTTTTTATCATTGTGATTTTGGTTTTATTTGTTATTAATCCCCTAGTGCATACACACATTATACACTATATATACGATATACAGTGTATATTACATGCCCTCATAAATTTCATTTTAAATCATTTATAAATTCCATTATTTCATATTATTTACAAATTCTACTTATCTATCTAGACACAGACTAATATAACATTAATGAGAAAAATATATAACAAAACCAGAAGATACCATTTTTATTTTTATTTGATTTATATTTTTGGTGGAAGATAAGGTTTTATTTTTATTTTTTAGTTAATTAATTTATTTTTGTTACAGATGTTTCTCCTTTCCCCCCACTGATATCCCTCTCCCTCTCCTTCCCTGCCCTGTTCCCCTAGGAAAGGTTTCAGAGATGAGGGACAAGAATTTGGAACTGCAAAGCCCAGTCAGGATCCTTTTCCTGAAACTGCAAGTTTCACAAAAAGCCCTTCAACAAAACTTCCAAGAGTCTACAGAATTCTTGATGACCAGATAAAACTGATATAGTGATAGGATGGTTATGGCTATGAAGACATATGAGTAATAAAGAAGTAAATATTGTACTCACTGTCTCACTTTATTTATTTATTTTTATTTATTTTTTATCCTCACCGGAGGACATTTTTCCATTTTTAGCTCAGGTAGAGTGGGAGGGAGAGAGAGGAACAGAGAGAGAGAAACATCGACGTGAAAGGGACACATCGAGTGGCTGCCACCCGCACGACCGACCAGGGCCGGGGACAAACTGCAACCGAGGTACGCGCCCTTAGCGGCAACCGAACCCGGGTCTCTCTGGACCGCAGGCCGATGCTCTAACCGCTGAGCCAAACCGGCCAGGGCTCACTGTCTCACTTTAAACCTATGAACAGAACACAGAAGATCTGCCACATGTTGACCACCGCATGCCCCCTCTGTCCTTGGCTCCATCTCACCCACTTGAGCAGTTCCTGCCTGGATTATGACCCAGTCCCATGGGATAACTACTCGTTATGGTAGCTGGTACTTATTTGTTATTAAAGATGTCTCAATTGCAATTAATGAAAGGAAGCTTGCCTTCATCTAACATGGGGCCAGAGTCTAGGACACAGGGTGTGGCCCACCAAGTAGCACAATCCTTGATGCACTTAAGAGAGTCTTGGGTCTCAGGTCAAACATTATGAGTCTAAATCAAACAGCTCAAAGCTGGCTTCACCCAGAATCTGGGACAGGCCAACGGGGCACTCCACCTTTGGAGATGAACACAGGGAGTTGTTGTGCCTTGAAAGTTTTCTCTCCGGTTAGTTGGAGGAGAAACCACTAGGTCTGACCTCAAAACGAGAATGGGTTGGGCTTGCAGTGCTTGACACCCCTCGCCCCAACACCACCACGTTTCATTCGATTGTAGGTTGGTCAGACCTGTCCAGAACAAGGTCAGAAAATTGGGCTTCCAGGACAGGCCTGCACAGTGCAGGGTTAAGGCAGGCCATAGCTGGAAGACAGGTAGAACGCGGCTGAGGTCCAGCGGAGCAGGCGCAAGGGCAGTCTGGGGGCGCAGAGGTGTGAGGTTCCTAATCTCAGGAGGACTCAGACTGAAAGGATCCAGCACACTGGATAGCACCTTGGCAGCGACCAGCACTGGTACAAAGGCTGGTCTACAAAGTTGACTCTAGGTCAGCCAGATGGCTCCACCTTCTAGATCATATGGGTTTCAAACTGGGTTGCTCATCATAATCACCCAGGGGCATGTTTACGGATATAAATTCTAAAGTCCTATTTCTGGAGATTCTGCTTCTGTAACCTGAGGTTAGCTACTGGAATGTGTGCTTTTAAAAAGCTCCCAGGTCATTCTGTTGAGTAGTATGGAAACCACTGCTATAAATAGAACTTAATTGATTGTTAAAGATAGATACTCTTACTGGTAGCTCCACCCCTATCCCCTAAGGGCTTTTAGTATCCTCTTTGTTGGAAGAGTCATATCTAGCATGGCCTCACTTGGTCAAGTATGAATAGCAGACTGGTCATAGATGAGTTTCTTCTACTTTTTATTAGAATCTGTCCTTTGTTTATCTCTTCTGGGCCTGGTGCAGAGGCTACACACAGTGTTTATATGGCTCTGACTCTGCCTGGTCTTCTACTAATTTTTTAAAAAATAATTAAAATTTTGATTTAACTCACTCTATCTAAAATGTCATTAGTTCAATATGTAATCAATGTTTTAAATTATTAATGAAATATTTTATACTTTTTATAGTAATTTTCACAGAAATCTAGTACATCTCAATTCAAATCGGCCATATTTCAAGTGCTCGATAGTAACATGTAGCAGCTACCACATCGGACAGTGCAGTCCTAGACCTTCAAGTTTAAGAAGTACATTCATCCTCATAAACTTTCATAGTCTGAATATACTAACTTAATATTTACATTTCTAATGAATACAAAAGAAGTAATGGCATTCATCACAGCAAACCCTAATTATACACTTTCATCTCCTACTAATTAAAACATTTTTTTTAATCCTTACCCAAAGATATGTTCTTTTTATTGATTTTAGAGAGCGAGAAACACCAATGTGAGAGAGAAATATCGGTCAGTTGCCCACACGTGTCCCGACTGGGGACTGAATCTGCAACCTAGGTATGTGCCCTGACTGGGAATTCAACCCAGAACCTTGTGGTGGACAGGATGATGCGCCAACCTCCTGAGCCAACTGGCCAGGGCATCTCCTACTAACTTTAATAAATATGCTAGAAAGAGCAGTGCTTACATCACTGATGTTCCTTTAACTGTAATGATTTTACAGTTCCTTATAATTTTCAATGATTATATCTTACTTTGGCATTATTTGCACTATTGCCCACTCCTCCCAGAGTTACCAGCTTCAATCATTAAAGTTACAGTTAATAACAGTTATAATTGACTCTTAAGTACCTTCATGAAATTCAGAGCCTTGGGATGAGCACCCGAGAACTTTTCTTCAAGAGTTTCCTAGAACACAAAGTAAAGACCTTTAATGTTACATAAAAACAAAGTAATGGATATCTTAAATACATTACTAATAAGAACACTGAAGAAAGACCCCCTAATAGGTTAGATACTTTCTTTTGAAGAGTTTCAAAATCATATTTTACATAATTTTACACTATAGTGTAAAGATCTGAACGACAAACACTGGAGTTCTTTTCTTTTTTTATTTTTATTGTTGAAAGTATTACAGATGTTCCCCCTTTTGTCACTCATTGATGGAGTTATTTTCTTAATTTCACAATGTCTTGCAATTGATATTTGATAAATGTGGGTTCCAAATGTTCCCTTTTGAAATACTACAACAGTCCTATAATATTTGTGTCTGATCTACTTATAGAAATGCTTTGAGCATTAATGAAAATTACACTGAACTACATGTGTAAGAGCAATACAGAAAGTAACAGAATGATGAACACAAAACTCAATATAAGGAGGGAGGAGACTGGGACTGAGGGGGAGCATGCGGGGAGAAGGAAGCTTCAGAGAAAATGGTAATATTCTTTAACTAGGCGGCAGGTACATGTGAATTTGTTGTTTTGTTCTTTAAGTTACATATTCTTATGTAATTCAACCTCTAGCCTTGTAATTTAACTTTTTAATCTTTTATTATATTTAATAAAAGAAAGCCAGTATATAAATTAAGATATTATATAAAATAAATTTAAAACAAAGAGGGTGGCCCTGGTGGTCTGGCTCAGTGGTTGGAGCATCGGCCCGTGGACCAATGAGTCTTGGGTTCGATTCCAGTCAAGGGCACGTACTTCGCTTGTGGTTCATTCCTGGCCCTGGGGTTGTGCGGGAGGCAACCAATTGATGTGTCTCTGTTACATCCATGTTGCTCTTTCTCTCCCTCCCTTCCCTCTCACTCTATCTGAACAAAAATAGAAAAATATCCTTGGGTGAGGATTAAAATAAATAAATAAATAAAACAAGAGGGTGTCCAGAGATAGCTGGGACCTCTCGAACCCCAGACTGTTCATACATCATAGGCTGGCCTTACAACTTTGCCCTCCCTGCAGCTCTCGGCCTCCAGCACAGCGAGTGTGGACACAGGCCTGTGGAAAGTCCTTTCATTCTGTAGGCCGAATCTAGACCATATGAAGTTTTAAAGATCACAGCCCAAACAGGTAACACAAACAGGAAATCAAGCACATTCCCAAAGAAAGGCAAAGCCCAAAGCGAGAGTGTGGAGGTGAGCATCGTGGTTTGGAGTTTTGATTTGGATACGAGGAAGATCATTTTGTAGAATGGCCTTCCATGTGAAAATATACACTGTGAAAAAATGGATTTTACTGATTTGAGCTTTGTTCCACATGCTGAAAAACACAGAGAATGCATTTTTTCAAAATAAAAAAGCACTATAGTAAGTACTGTTTATGTGATCATCATTATTTCAGGAAAAAATACCTGAATGTTTTGACTAAAAGAATCAGGTATCTGTGTTAGGAACTAAATATATTTTCACTTCAAATTTAACATTAAATTAACCTTTGGATAGGGCAAGTAAACTTTATAAGCATTCTCCCGATTCATTTCCCACAGTTCCTCTGGTCTGTGTTGGTGCGGCACAGGGAGAACAGGGGCTAAAAGCACAAATATTAAAAGAAAGAAACAAACAAACCCAACTACCTCTTTAAAAAAAGTAGCAACACAAATAATAAAACATCATAAAATCAAGCAGTTACCATGTCTTCTGGTTCAGGAATACTGATGCCATGAAAAAACTGGTTGCTTTTAAAGATGAATTGATGTCTTGGGATAAGTTTTCCTGTAAAATACAAACCACGTAATTTAGGTTGTTTATAAAAATAATGTAGTGTTTAAATGGCTAACTTCTGAGGTCCAGATGCGAAAGAATCCCTGATCTAGACTGTGACCTCCAGATTTGGAAGGAATAGGTCACAGCCAAAACACACCTTCTCAGGCACGGTTGATTCTCCCATACAACTGTCTTTGCCACAGGTAGCTTGATCTGCCATTCAGCCTCCACCAAAAGAGGAGGTAAGAAATGGTGTGGAGGACTTTACACACATGATCTTATAACAATCTCACAAAGGATGCTATTTTTTAATCTCCACTGTATCAATGAGAATGAGACTCAGAGTTTAATAACCTGTCTAAAGTCACACGGTCATTTAGTGACAGACCCAGGATTCAAACTCAGGTCTGTCTAATATCTGCCTAATGTAAATTTCCACAATCCTTTTGGGAAACCAATCAAACACTATACACTTAAGGAGTGTTCTGCAGTGGTACTCTATCCCACATTTTTCACACTGTAGAACTGTCCAGAAGAATGTATTGGAACCAGACCAGACAGCAGTAGTTCCCTTGCCCAGCACCACGCTGCCAGGAGAGCCTATGGGAAGGAATGAATATATATGCACGTTGCGTGTAGATGGATCACTCTCTGCATCCATCCCAGGTGGAAGTGCACACTGCTGAGGACGCGGACTCACGATGAAAGCAGTCCCTTGCGTCCCATTCCTATTCTGCACTTGACTGGCTGTGTGACTTTAGGCCAATCATGGAAGCTCCCTGAGCCTCGTTTTCTCATTTCTAAAACAAGCATCATGAAAAATGTTACAAAGTCCTTAACAGGATTTTCTTAAGACGGAAAACGATGAAGTGTGTAAAAGTAACTTGTAAATTCTTAAGTACTGTACACAGGGGCAGAGTTGAGGGTTTGCAACAGAGGCCACACAGCCTGCCAAACCTAAACTGTGTACCTCTGGCCCTTTACAGAAGAAGTAACAGAGGAAACCCTCTTTCACAGGGGCCAGAAACTGCACTTGATCCAATACCTCGTAAGAGCAAGCTCCATGCAGTTGACTCATATCCTTAGCCCTATCTTAGTCCAGTATGGAAAGTAAATGTGTAGTTTATTCCACGGCTAAGTGGCTTGACCTGGAAAGGATCTGAAAACTCCTTAGTGAGGGAGTACTGGCTGTACATATCGAGGAAGGGGTTGGGTTTCGGCTACAACCCAGAACAAGCATCCTGAGCAGCACCTTGGAGAGGCAAGAAAGCTGCTGGTGCTCATTACAAGGACACACTATCACTCTAATAACCTAGCAACTCTGTAAGCCATGAAACGCAGCTCCTACCCAGCGTTCGGATTATCAGATAAAGTTGATCCACATCCGATTTTCCAGGCCAGAGTGGCTGGCCCGTCAGGAGCTCTGCAAAAACGCAACCAGTAGCCCATACGTCGACTGAGGAACCATACTGAGTGTCTCCCACAAGAAGCTCAGGAGCTCGGTACCATCGTGTAGCGACATAATCAGTGTAGGCATCTCCTGGAACTGCAAACGCATCGATGATCAGATGAGGTGGGTCACATTTTCCCAGCATGCGAACTACTCCTAAGAGCAGGTCAGGCATTGTGGTAAGCTTCAAATACTCTGAAGTTAGTGCAGGAAGGCAGTGCTTGAGGGAGCAGTTACACTGCACATTCAACTTCCAAAGGCACTTTAGCTAGTTAACATCTATATAATCCCAAATAGGGCGGTGGGATTGGGAATTTCTAGTGTAACTTCAAGCCGAAACCAACTTCCAAATGTATTGTCACCCGTGTCTGAGTCCTATCAGGATGCTGATTATACATATACACACCACCTTGCGATGTGGACATTGTTGCTAGCCTGGTGCACAGTTCTGGATCTGGGGAGAAACATGGATTTGTCTCCTTTTCCCTTTGGTTCCTCCCTGTCTGGGATGATTTCCCTTTTCTCAGCTCTGTCTGAATCCTCCCTCAAACTGCCAGTTCACTCTCGTCTCCAGCCCCGTGGCTCCAGCCCACAGTATCTCCCTCCAGGGAAGTGTCTGCACCTGCACTTTAGTGCTTCACTGCCAACCATCCTGCATTATTCCTGTTTCCTTTACTCCAGATTACAGGTGCATGCAGGGCAGAAGTGCATCTTATGACTCTTCCTCTGCTGTGGGGCAATGCATATGAACGTGACATGCAGTCAATTCTAGCCGAATGGGTGCAGCTGAAGTGCAAATTAATGTAGTGACTAGAGGTAAAGGTGAGATTTTCCTCTCTGAATAATAATATAACATTTAGCATACACTCAATATCTAAAGTAAGATTTTCAACTATATTATTTCATCATTATCAGAATTGGGTAAATGAGTAAAAAGTGGCTACTTACTCAGAATTCGTGCAAATCCAAAGTCACAGATCTTGATTATTCCTTGCTTAGTTATTAGAATATTTTCAGGTTTTACATCTCTGTGAATGCACTGTAAGGTAATATTTGATTATTTCCTTGGGTCACCAAAATGGCAAAGCATAAAAACATTAACTATTACTTTAAATGATAAACACAGCCTGTGAGATAAAAAACAAATATGGTTTTCCATTATTTTTCTAAAAGAACTTACATTGGCAATTTTTCACTTATCCTAGCAAAAGAGAAAAAAATCAAAATGTTGTTACATCAGTGAAGAAATAATTGTTGGATATGAAAATTTATTTTTGGGGGGGTAATATAATACAATTATTTTTTTCCAATTTTACTGGGTCCTATTTTAACTGTAAGAGGTAAAACCTTAGATGAGTTTAGACTCAATGTACCTATAATAAGAACTACCACCACCCAAGAATCACATTCGGGCTGAATAAGCATTGCAGACTTGAGAAACTAGAAAAACATCTGAATGATAAACAAACCTCATTTATAATTAGAATGACCACATTATCATCTAAATAAGGATGTGTGAAAAAACTCTCTATCAATAATTACGCCAGGAAATGAGCACAAGCCACAGCTGTCCTGGTAAACTGGGATGTATGGTCCCCCACTTGGCAAGAGCTACCACAGTGTCTGGCCTGGGGAAGGAGTTTCACTTCCACACCGGTGAGCCGACCTGGGTGGATCAGCAGCCCTCCTGAGAGGGGCCACACCAAGGAGTCCCTCCTGGGAGAGCAGGACACCACGGGGAGGCATTCTCGCCTCGAGAAGCTCCCCTTGGCCTTCTGTAGGTGGACAGCTCGCCGTGCTGCATCGTTAGAGTGACTGCATGAAGCAGATGCTCCTTGCTGGACAGGAGAGGGTTCAGCTGGGGGTGGGTGAAGGTAGGCCGAGTGAGCCTCCCTCATCTTTAGAAGCGGCTGTTCCATGTTGTGGAGGCCCTGTTCTTCAGGGCCTGAGTTTTCTAGTTTATCCTCCCTCCGAACAACCAGACAGATAAAAACGAGGGTGCTCTTGTTCTATAACTCAGCCCCATACGGAGCTCTGTACTTCCAAAGCACCTGCGCGTGAATGAGCTCATCCTTGCAACTACACTGATTGCAGGTGGCCACTGACAGTCCCCAGAGTAAGTGTCACAGTAATCAGCTCCTCTGCCTCACTTCTCGGCTGTGCTGTCAGTCCATTTAAGTGTTGCTGTCAAATGGACAATTCTGAAATAATTTCTATTTGCTTCTACAACAGCTATCTAGGAAGAGAAAATGTTGAATCCTTTATTTTCGGTCACAAAAAGGGCACTGGTAATAGAAGTTTGTTTCAAGTTATCTCAATTTAGTCACTGTCAACTCTGAAAACCTTTTCAGGCCTCTTAAAAGTCCTAGGGCTTAGACATTAATTTAAAAAGTACATTGTTGTAATATAAACCAACTTAATTTTGATATCCTACCTTTCGGACAATCCATTTATGAAACCTGGATTAACACTCTGAGTCATATAATACTTGGTAATTTAAGAAGAACCGGTTAGGTCCCTCAAATGACTTTGCAACAAATTCTAACATTTCTGAACTATATGCAATATTATTTATTTTTTTATCCTCACCCGAGGACATTTTTCCATTTTTTGTTCAGACAGAGTGGGACGGAGAGAGAAGAAGAGAGAGAGAGAAACATGGACATGAAAGGGACACATCGAGTGGCTGCCACCCGCACGACCAACCAGGGCCGGGGACAAACTGCAACCGAGGTACATGCCCTTAGCGGGAACCGAACCCGAGTCTCTCTGGACCACAGGCCAACGCTCCAACCGCTGAGCCAAACCAGCCAGGACTGAACTATATGCAATATTACCAAGTAAACAGACTTACACTGATACCTATTGGCCAACTTAAATATGTTTTTGGGATCTAATGCAAATCCACATGAAATCTATAGCAACTTATTTTCCAACAAAAAATACAAAGGCAAATGAAATACTGATATGTCCCAAAGAAAGAGAAAAATGTATTGCTGTAGGTAAGAGAAGCTACTAATAGAGAGGGGTAGGGTACTGAAGAAAGGAAGAGAGTAAAAATCACTGGAACAGTAAGACACCGAATGGAGGCAGAGACGCGAGACATTCAGTACCCACCTCCTCCACGGCAAAGCCACACGGGTGCAAATTCTGCTGTGCCCCTTGCAATCAGCATATTTTTCACCAAATAGGAAACTTACAAGTCAGGATCATGAAAGAATTTTGATAAACTTTAGTTTCACACAAAGCTTTTAGCAAACACTGCTCAAGTGGAATTATTGTGGCTGGTGTACAGTCTCATTTTCACTGGCTCACAAGCCAGCAAGAGAATAACTTAATCGCCTCTGGAAACTTCCACACCAGGAATTGCTTCTTATAAAGCCCGGCTTTTAAACCCCCTTTTAACCCAAATGAAACATTAGTTATAGGCAATAATTATGGATGCTAAAGCCATCAAGTAAAAGGGTGACAGGAAAATTGATAATGGAGGAAATCAAACAAATACCTCCTGAACCCACAAGTCTATTTTAAGATGATCAAAAGTGGGACAACTAGATATTGGATGCCTTATGTTGATGCAATAAGAAGTCTATAGCACTATATATGAAGTATTCTTGCCTAGAAAATGATCAAGCCTCTAGATATAAATACCAATTTACAGGAAATACAGGTGAAGGAACAAGTTCAATTACACACAGGATGCAATCAGGCAAAATGATTTCAGTAACACAGTGTGGTTCTTGGAACAGCGGCTTGTGTATCAACCAGGAAAATGCTTGGAAACGCACACTCTCGGGCCCTAACTCAAGCCTATGGAACCATTTACTCTGGAGGTGGGCCCGGCAAACTGTGTCCTAACAAGACCTTCCAGGCACTGTGATACATGCTCACGTTTGAGAACTGTGGCTCTAAAAAATTAATGAGGGAAAATGTTTTTTAAGACGCAGGGGAAAGAGGACTGTTATAGGATAAAAGACTTGAGAGATAAAAACAAAACAAAACCCAGTGCCATGGTAGATCACACTAATGAAAAGTTATTTTAATTCAATTTAAAAGTGATCATAGGAATCATTAGCACTGAGGCAAAAAGAAACATTAAGTTTATACAAACTGTTAATTCATAAGAAATTAGAAACTTGGTTCTAGTAGAAATTGGAAAAGGGCCACAAATAATGCATTGTTTTTCCTCATATTCGGGAATTTTTTTTTGTTTTGCTCTTCTGGTTCTTACTTTCTCTTTGTTTTTAGCTTTTCAAAGACACTCCTGAGCTACTTAGGAAAAAGAGTTATCATGAAGAATTAACGAATGCATTAGAAAATGTCACTTACGTTATGTTTATGACAGAAATTAAGAGCTTGAAGTGTTTGCCATAACACACTTTTGATCACTCCATCAGCAACTCTAGGGAAAATAATAGAAAAGGAAATTAAAAACTCCTGGGATGGGGATATAGTCGCAGAAGAGAAGAGAGAAATGGTGTGAGTGGGGCCTCAGACACCAACACACAGTGCAAAGGGCGCCCTAGAGATGTTTCTTAACAATGCTTTAATGAAAATTGCTTTAATAGTTTTTCTTTCTTTTTTTTTTTTTTATCCTTACCCGAGGACATTTTTCCATTTTTTTTTTCAGATAGAGTGGGAGGGAGGGAGGGAGGAAGGGAGGGAGTGATAGAGAGAGAGAGAGAGAGAGAAACATTGATGTGAAAGGGACACATTGAGCGGCTGCCACCCGCACGACCAACCAGGGCCGGGGACAAACTGCAATCGAGGTACGTGCCCTTAGCGGGAACCGAAACTGGGTCTCTCTGGACCGCAGGCCGACGCTCTAACCGCTGAGCCAAACCGGCCAGGGCCTATTTTTCCATTATGATTACATAATTTCCTCTTTAAATTTCAATTTTTACATCTGTAAAAATGATGCATACTTAACATGAAAATTCAAACAGAGAAAGGAAAGGAATAAAGTGTTGACTCAAATCTTGCTATCCCCAGGTAACTGCTATAACCTGTGGTGGTTGTTCTTTAGGGACCTCTGTTTCTCTCCCTTTGTATGTTCAAATTTACTTTTTAACTTTAATATTAAAAAATATATTTATATGGTTTAAAATGTAAAAATATGACAGTGTAGCTATGACATAGCCTCTCTCACACCAGCCTAGCCACTCCGTCCGTCCTCCGCCACTTCCCGGCCTCTTTCCGAAGCGTTCACGCGTAGACGTACAGTACTCATGTATACAGATATTTTCTGGCTATAAAGGATCGTGTTATATGGATGTATCATAATTTCCTCAGTCCCCATGGATGAGCAATTAAGTTGACTCGATTTTTATTTCTGGAAACAATGCTTTACTGAATATACACAATCACCCATCTCATTGCACTTGTGCAATTATCTCTATTAATTTATTTTTGTTACAGATGTTTCTCCTTTTCCCCCCAGCCCCCAGCTTTGTTGTCCATGTCCATTGTTCATGCACACATGTGCAATTATCTTTTAAGGTAAGTTCTACAAGTGGGCTTTCTGGGACCAGTGGTAGGCACACGTTACATTTTGATCTTGTAGGGATGGACTTCAGGGAGACCTGAGACTTGGTTTTTCAGGAAAAAAGCTATGCTTGAAAATTGACCTTCAATTCATCTAATTCATGTTGGCTCTAACACTCAAGCAAGTCCCTGCAGAATCCTTCCTCTGTTAGGAAAATATTGGAAAGTTCCATGGGTAGATGTATTTGCCACGGGGGAACTTGGGAGCTGGACAACTTGTATTCTGGCTGGGAGTAGTGTGCTTCATATAACCATCTTTATAAAGTATAACAATGGCATTCCATTTAACCTTTCTGCTGATATCTTTCCATTGTTCCCCCTACCATCCCGTGAATGATGCCTTCACAGTTACATACCACCAAACTACCCTCTCTAAAAAAGGTTCTACCCATTTATACTCCCATAAAACATCTGTGCATTCAAGTCCCTATCTCCTCATTTTGGTTTACATTTGCATGCCATTAATTATTAATGAATTAAATTTTTACATGGTTATTGGCGATAATATTCCTTCTTTTGTGTATTTCCTGTTCACTGCCCTTACCACTTTTTTGATTGGTCTGTTTACTCCTTTCTAAACTGATTTATGAAGACTCAAAGTGTATCAATTTCTTTTACCAAATGTCTACTGTACATAGGTATTTGATCAAATCTGGATATTCAAATATGTTTCGATTACTTTTTACAACTGAACTAATCAGCAGGTGTGCCTGGCCTTCCAGAATAGTGGTGGGGCCTGTATATCACTCCAGCAGGGTACCAGCAACAAGACATCACCATGTGGGGCTGGGAAAATGCCAAGAAACAGCAACAAGTATATGGAAGTATCTTCCTCAGAGTAGTTTCCCAATCTCAGGTCACAATTACGCTGACATGCCATTGACATACATGCCCTTGACATCAGTGGTCTGGTGGCAGCACTTGACTCCAGCTCCTCTAGGTATTAATATTGTGAAAGCACCCAATTCTCAGTATTAAATCCCTTTCCATTGGAAATTTCTGGAGTGGTTTCTATTTCCTATATGGAATTCTGATACAGCTTTATCCCCTCCCTCCACCTAGAGCCAAACCTGAGACAACATTCTTTAAAGTTTTTAAGTAAGAGTCAGAAAGGATAGTATAGCCAGTCTGAGCACTACGAGAGCATTCCAAACCCAGCTGTGCTATTTCCCAGTTGTGCAACCTTGGCCAAGCTATACGTGCCTTCAGTTTTCCTCAGGTGTAACAATGGAATGATACTGAGAAGTCTATCCACTAAGAGTCTGGGTTTTAACCTCTACATAGGTTCAGGAGATGAGTGTCTGAGATCAGAAGATGGGCTGAGACCCTCCTTCCCCAACAGCAAGAGGCCTTGAGGTGAGAAAGCACAGGAGCAAGTGCCAGTGTGGGGCAAGTATGAATGGACTGGCAAGGCTTCAGGGCCTTAGAAATCTTGGTAAGGAATTTGAATTTATTCTGAGTTTAAAGGGAAGTCATTGAAAGGGCTCAAGAAGGTAAGTGACATAATAAGGAAAATGGATTTCTGGGGGCAAAGTGGATACACAGAAGTTAATTAGGAGGCTCACATAATAATCTTGGTGCGATTTGGTGATTTACGGTAGGGTGATAGTAGAGGAGGGCAGGGAAATGGATTTCAACTCTGGGAGGGGCTAGCAAGAGTAACACACGGCCCTATCTGCGTAGAAATGGAATGCTGGGTGGGATCGAAGGACTACGTGTCTAGGGGATCAGGTACTGGAACTGGGAAACAAGGTATGGACGAGGGTTCAGAAACTGGCAGAACCCTGGCTACTAGGGTGAATAATATGGAACTAGTAATGCCATAAGAAAGTCCCGAGCTACTGTTGTGAAAGAGGGGTGTCTGCATCTCAAGGGAAGTGTCACAGCTCTGTGCAAAACTGAATCCTTAGCTCAGACTCCAAGAAGGTAAAACAACATACAAAATAGCAGCTGCCAACAAACACCACTGACCTCACAAGGAGAAGATAGTTATCAAAGAGAATAGATTCGCACTGTGCTCATTCCAGAAAGATAGAGCATTGCAACTGTATTTAGCCACAGGCAGCACTTTTCCAAAGCATTTGGAGTGAAATAAAACCTTCTGTAAAATCAAGTGATACTTAGTGTTTACATATCATACTCTGGGTGAGTGCAAAAACAAATACAGAAAGTAATAGTGAAGGTCTGGAAAAAAATCCAGGCATCCTAGTTACGGACTGAATGGGTGAATAAGGGTAACATGACCAGGGGGTTCAGACTGCATTGCTCACACACTGCTCTTAGCTACTCACTAGAATCCTGATGCCGACATCAAAGCTCATTACCTTTTACTTTGTTACAGAACTTAATATGGAAAACTTGATTTCACTATCAGTACCCAAGATGAATCGAGCCCTTCTCAGTAATCCCTTGCTGTCCTAGAATAAAATCCAGCCTTTAATATGGTGCCAGCCTCTTGATTTCCCGCCTGTGAGCCTCCCCACCTGTGAGCCTCCCCACCTCTCTCTCCTGCCTCTTTCCCACACTGCAGTCCCGCCCTATCAGTTTCAGCTATTCTCCAACATGCCACACAGGTTACACCTCCAAATCTTTGTCTGCATTGTTCCTCCTACTCCCCTCCCTGGGCGTTCTCTAATTCCTCAAGTGTGCTTTATTTTTCTTCAAAGACATGTAACTCTGCAAGGACTTTATCTTGTCCACTGATGCAGCTTTAGGGCCTAGAACAGTAACAGGTGCTCAATTAAGCTTGTTTCTCTACCGCTCTCAGAAATTTAAAAAAATAACACCCTGTCGTAAATCCCTTTTTGCTTCAACTAGCTAGAGTGAATTCTGTCGTTGAATCCTGACTAGTTCAGAGGTCATCTAGAATACAGTGTCTATTCAAGGCAAGGCTTTGCTGGACTGAATGTGATAGAACATACCACATATGGGAAAATAATAAAAGTGGGGTGGCTGGCTGTTTCTCACTTTCCTGAAAAAATTAAAGAAACAAAGGACAGGCTTAGGGCTGTAATATCACGGTTCAAGGCACAGTTAAGAACCCAGGAGTCCAATGATTGCTTAAAAAGAACCCCTTGCCCTGGCCGGTTTGGCTCAGCGGTTGGAGCGTCAGCCTGCGGTCCAGGGAGACCCAGGTTCGGTTCCTGCTAAGGACACGTACCTCGGTTGCAGTTTGTCCCCGGCCCTGGTTGGTCATGCGGGTGGCAGCCACTCGATGTGTCCCTTTCACGTTGATGCTTCTCTCTCTCTCTTTCTCCCTCCCACTCTATCTGAACAAAAAATGGAAAAAAAATGTCCTCGGGTGAGGATTAAAATAAAATAAAATAAAATAAAATAAAATAAAATAAAAAGAACCCTTCATTTCTTGTTATCTGTAGGACGCAGCCCATGGACCCAATGGGCCTACCATGAGGTGAATGCAGAATCAGACACTGAGAATAGTCCTGCAGCATGCTAAATGACAACACAGATTGCATTTATGCGAGGTTAATTAATTTCTCAGTTAACTGAGAAAAGGATCTTCTTCAAAAATGGAAACTTGACACTTGGGAATATTCATGTGACTGAGAACACCCGGCAAATCCTCCTTCTCGCGAGGAGCAGTGCGGAGAGGCTGGTTCTGCCTTGTTGAGGACCCCTGATCGTCTCACGTAGGTGCGTGCACTGCACGAACATGCCACGTCTTCTCCAGGCTCCTCTCTCACCACCTCTCAATTACAGTGTTCGGCTTTGTAACCTCACTTTTTCACATACTATGGCATGAGTAACTTCCCCAGGAATACTAACTGTTCTTCTACAGCTTGCCTTTAATGAGCTGGATGCCTAGTGTTCCACTGTAATGAAGATAGCAAAGTGAATTTAACAAACCTTTTTGGTTGAAAATTAGGTCAGTCTGAATATTTTCTGATGTAAAAAATGACACGCGGAACACTCTTATGTAAAAAGTTTGCACCTATCTGATTGCTTTCTTAATATAAATTTCTCAGATGGAATTTCTTGGTCAAAGGATGAAAACAGTTTGAAAGATTTTCATAAAAACTGCCGAACCAGCCCTGGCTGGTTTGGCTCAGTGGTTAGAGTGTAGGCCTGTGGTCCAGAGAGACCTGGATTCGGTTCCTGCTAAGGGCACGTACCTCAGTTGCAATTTGTCCCTGGCCCTGGCTGGGTTGCGAGGGAGGCAGCCACTTGATGTGTCCCTTTCACATCGATGTTTTTCTCTCTCTCTCTCCCTCTCTCTCTCCTTCCCACTCTATCTGAACAAAAAAAATGGAAAAACGTCCTTGGGTGAGGATAAAAAAAACAAAACTGCCGAACTGCCCCAATTATATACACGCTCTCCCCAGCTGTGGATGAGGGTGCCCGATTTCCCGACTTTAACAATACCAGGTACACTGTATACTGACTTTTGGAAAACCTTTGCCAATTTGATAGGTGAGAAATGGTATTTTATTTTAAAATTTTGAATTTCTTTGGCTAATAGATAGGATATACATATTTTCCTAGGTGTATTGCTCACTCCCCCGCCCCGGCTTTGTCATGTCTACTGGGTGTTAAATTCTGTAAGATTAGGCAACTTTTTGGTATGTTCTGTCCACTGCTGGACCCTCAGCACCTAGCCTGGCACACAGTGGGGCTCACCAAAGGTTTCAGTGAATGACTACAGTTTCTAATTGGGTGTTAACCTTTAAAAATATCTAGACTTGCAAAATCTGCATATGTAGATGTAAAATTATATTAATTCATTATTTGGCAAATAATTTACCCAATTTATCACTTCTTTTTTTAGATCTGTTTATGGTACATTTTTGTCGAAGAGAATCTTGACGACTAATATGATTTAATATTTGGCAGTTAAAGTTCCTTTTCTTCTTCTTTTTTTTAATTCTCACCCAAGAATATTTTTCTATTTATCTTCAGACAGAGTGGGAGGGGGAGAGAGGGGGAGAAAGGGAGAGAGAGAGAAACATTGCCATGAGAAGGTCACATCGACTGGTTGTCTCCTGCATGACCCCAACCAGGGCTGGGGACAAACCGCAACCGAGGTACATGCCCTTGGCCGCAATCAAACCTGCGACTCATTGGTCCGCAGGCCAATGCTCTAACCGCTGAGCCAAACTGGCCAGGGCTAACTTCTTGATTTAGTCTTTTTCAAGTTAAAAAAAAATCCCATTGATATTTGTAGTTGTCTTTACATAGAGTCTAACAATTCTGTTTTATCTTTATTCCCAATCTTTTTTGTTCTTGTTGATATTTAAATGGGATTTTTCTCCATTAGATTTTCTAAAGTACTGGTTGATACAAAAGCTGTTAATTTTTGTGCATAAAATTTGGAGTGCTATATTCATTATACTGAATTCTATTCATTTTAATAACTCTTTGGGTAATTCTCTTAGATTTCTGCAGAATACAATTAAAATAATAACAATTTAATCTTGATTTCCAAAATTATATATTCTATTAATTTCTGTCATTACATTACTTTGGCTAGAACTCTCAGAACGATGTTACATTATAGTGGTGACAACTGATGTCCTTGTCGTGTTTCTTATTTTAATGGTAATTCCTTTAGTGTTGAGTATAAACTAAGTGTTGATTTGAAGAGGGTGTTTGTGTGCTAAGAAAGTATTTGAATCCTAGTTTGCTAAGGCTTTTACAAAAAAATTAGAAAAGGATGCTGAATTTATCAACTGCCTTTCAGATTTTACTAACATATATTTTTTTTCTCCTTTAACCTATTAGTGAATTATGTATTTCCTAGTACATGGTTCATTCTGTGACTTCAGACCATCCAATACACAATTTAGCCTCAAAATGCATTGTGATTTACACGTGCAGAATTGTCTTCTGAATTATTTTTCCTCTAGGTTAGCATTCATTTGCAGAGCACATCCTAACAGAGCGAAGAGGGGCAGCCAGCAGATGCGTCTGGGTAGAAGCAGATGCGGCTCAGATTTGGAATCGGCTGTAGTCAATCCCACGCGGAATCAAACTGGGACCTGACCATACAGAGCTTCAGTTTCTAGATTACTTACCCATTTGGACTTCTTTCCAGCTCATTTAAAAGTGTATGATCACAGTATTCAAAAACTAAATGCATTTTCCTCTTTCTCCTGAACACCTCAATGAGGTTCACAAGGTTTGGGTGTTTTAATTGCTGCAAAGGAATTGAAATACAAAACCTGGTGATTAGTTCCTTGTAAAGTTTCGCCCTGGATCCTTTATAATTCTAAGAACAGAAGGTCTTACTTATCATTCTCTATGCATCTCTTGTGGAAAATTTTATTACAGTTACTTACAAGAGAAACTACCCTTAATAAGAATCATGGCATCTTCAAGTTGCAAGAAAAATGTAAGAATTTGTCTAATGTATCCATAATAGATGAAAACTAAATTGAATCTAGAGATAACAAATAAAATATACAACTTAAAATATAATAACTAAAACCAAAAATACTTTAGCATTCTGTGGAAATTCTAACTATATAATCCATAAAATAACTTGAATAAAAAACTGAGAAAATGGAATTATTGCATAAGACCTTAAAAATCATCACTACCCATTTAGCTTACATACTGCCATGGGTTTAAGGCATACATAAGCTGGATTTAAACCCAGTCTGGCTTTTAGTGTTGGCTCTCAGAAATACAAGATCCCAACCTTCAAATCTAATTAAACCACCTGTTCTAGGAGTCCACACAGTTAATTAGTCTGTTTTCATTTCGTCATTTTCCAGCTGTTCTTCACTTTTGTTGTTCTCTCTTATGCTTAGATGTTGTGTGTGTTAAATTCTATTCCCAACCTGAAGCAGTTCACAAGGCAGCCTCAGTTGAACATTGCGAACCAAAGGAAAAATCCTAAGACCATCCATTATTAGAGCAACTATATAATTTATCATCATAGCAGGGTAAGGGTATAAGCCCGGACTGTCCCAGGCAAGCTGGCACATTTGCCTATATCTAGGGTGACCCTATAATTTAGTTTATAAACCAGGACACTTTTGAAAGAGGATGCTAACCAGACTGACTGTGGTCATAGACCAGGACATCTGACCTCTGCTACTTATAACTCATCTTCCCTGTTAGTAGACAAATTGCTTTTGCAAACAAATAAAATATACAACTTAAAATATAATACTAAAACCAAACCCTATACCATTTATTCAGAAAGATGTATAAAAAAAAGAGAACATAGTTTTGTGTACATAGTAAAGCTCAACAAATATGTTGTAGGCCCAGTAGAGAGTCCTACGCACGAGAACTTGCACAGCATCCTCTACTTCAGCATCTGTAAACACGGCTTGACCAAAAAACATCAGCCTGCTGCTCAGTTTGGGAAAAGGAAATCCATTATGCGTTAAGAATATTCTCAGAGCGTCCAATCTGTTTTTGTTCCCCCTATGTGCTCTACTGCCGAGAAGGGCAGAAAGGCAAAGAGCAGAGGAACTGGCCACACAGGCAATCCAGCTGCTTTGTGCTATAGCAAAAACTCTAGAATGGAATAAAAAAAAAAATTATCTCTATCAGGAGAGTAAGGGATTCCCAGATGCTAACGCTGGATGCAATGTCAAGGTTCAACCTAATCAAATCTGTCTTTGGGTAGAACAGCAATTTGAATCTCCTTTTTACCAATGAAATTAACTTAGCCCAGAAAAACAGGGACTTGTCTAAAGTGAAATGGTAGTAAGGAGGGGAAAATCAATCACATTTAAATAATAGGAGTATATGAGGAAGGTAAGGTAAGGTAGACATATCCTGGAAGGAAACTCTTCAGGGCATAAAATGGGTGTTTAACTATCAAAAGCAGGAAAGATGTACCTTCTGAGAGTCGTCATCACCAGATACCAGGCTGAGTTGGGATCTGGCTACTTTTTACCTTTGAAGTTCAATCTCCAATTGGGCCCAGTAGAGAGCTTGTAACCTAGGAGGTACTACCTGCGCATTAACTTTAGTTGAAGACTTTGGGGGTGGCGGTGGATAAAAAGTGTTACTTTCATTAAAGAACCACCACTCTGCTCAGTTCAGAAACATCCTGTGCCTTAGCTCTGAGAAGGAGCTGGCCTCTGGCTACAAGAACAGTAAACTGATTTTTATCATGATGGATATATTGCTCTTGAAAAATCCGTGTATAACTACTCATATTTTAAACCACACACTAGAACTCATTAGTTGAGGAAACCTGCTACTTGAAAAGGATAATTAACTATTACCTCCCTTTAAAAACTGGATTTCTGAGGATTTCCTAAAAATAGATGACATGTCAAAAGTAAAAGCTGGCTGTGTATTCTTGAAATCACAAACAAGTTACTTGAAGTGTGGTCCATGAACCAGCAGCTTCTGCGCCACTGGGGAGTTTGCTGGAAATGCAGGGCCTCAGGCTTCCCCCACACCTCGACTTGGAATCTGCATTTCAACAAGGTCCCTGGGGAGTCCAGTACACATTCCTGTTTGAGAAGCAATGTCCTATGACTCAGTTTTCTCTCGGATAAAATAAAGGTGCTGATGAGAAGCATCTCCAAGGTCTCTTATGGTTCTAAAACTAAGAGGTTTAGGACAGGAAAATGTTTACATTGAGAACTTATGAATCTTTTTTTTTTTAAATCCTCACCCAAGGACATCTTTCCATTTTTTGTTCAGATAGAGTGGGAAGGAGAGAGAGAGAAACATCGACGTGAAAGGGACACATCGAGTGGCTGCCACCCGCACGACCCAACCAGGGCCGGGGACAAACTGCAACCGACGTACGTGCCCCCTTAGCGGGAACCAAACCCGGGTCTCTCTGGACCACAGGCCAAGGCTCTAACCGCTGAACTAAACCGGCCAGGGCGAACTTATGAATCTTATATGTCAAATCTTATCAGAGAAACAACTATAACAAAACCTGTGAATAGTGTATATACCTAGCTGGGGTGATATTCAATATGTCTAAAAACCAGTGAGCCCAGGCAGGACCCGTCCACATCAATGCCTACAGGCCCACTGGCACAGTCCTGTGGGCTCCTCTGTGCCAGCAGATGCTCTTTAACCTGCTGGTTTGTGGGGAGAAGGGTGGGGGTGGGGGTGCAGATGAAGGCCGAGGCTGGGGGAAATGAGGGAATTTAGGGCAGTGGAGATTTACCAGTAAGAAGGGAAGTACTTCAATATTTTAACAATCTACATCTGTACTCATATCAACTAAATATCAAAGTGGCCATAGTCCAAAATGATGATCAATTTACTTCCCAAAGTTACTAAAATTCCTTGTAATTCTGGCACACACATTTCACCCAATATCATATTATAGATACATAAAAGTTAACCTACCTTCAACATACGTATTTCTCTTAGTGCTATTTTCTTAATAACAGGATCATCTTCGGATTCCACAAATTTTTTAATAGCTACCACTTGTCCAGATGTCTTGTTTCTGCACTTGAATACAACCCCATAAGACCCTTCTCCAATCTTAGCTAGTTTTTCATACTTTTCCATTATAGTAGTAGCGACTTAAATTACTGTATTGATTAACTTGCAGTACAATGTTGCACCTGGAAAATAAGATGACTCGGCTTAACCAAGTTATCAAGGACAATGTTCTCACCAATTATTATATAAAACCAATATGCTGAGGATACCAAAGGTTTATTTCCATTGATTAATTTTAAATACACTTTAAAATATTTGGACGCTATTTTGTTAGTTGAGTCCAGTCCTATGTGTTTCTTCCAGCTACCAAAAAATGTTATATGCCATTTCTGTTTCTGTTGACTTCAGTTGAATTAAAAGAATTTGTGGAAAGGAAACTTATCCAATCTATTGTTTTCATTAACCCCTTGTAAACAATTCAAATATGATGCTGTAAAATCCAGCTGAGGGAATGTTCCATACTTTTGAATAGTGTTTATATTTTCCCTCGCAACCCATTTGAATAAGGCAGAAACTAGAACTGAGAACAAGACATGGTACAAAGTGCTATACCTCCACCTGGTGGACAGAAGAAAGAGAAAATGTGGGCTGTTAAACAAAGCAGCAATTAAAACAATAACATCTTTTTTGAGCATTACTTATTGTGTTCAGTTTTTATGTGTTGAAAGGAACAGATCCTTAAATTCTTAGCTCCCCCTAAAAATAAAAATAAAACACAGTGAAGGTAGATTTCTCTAATTCTTCACGTATGCTTTTGTATCCAGTGATTTCTATGGAAACACTGGGTTTAATTATTTTGTCTTGCATCATCACCACATTTGTGAATTGTGTGGTGACAAGATTACGTTAAATAACAAATAAGGCCAGCATAATTACATAAATCAGTTTAGAAATGGAAAATATAAAAATTCTAATTTGTCTTAAAAACCCCACCCTACTTTACTCAATAGAATCTTGTTAATACACTCTAATGGTAATAATAATAGCTAGAATTTAGTAACACTGTCCTATGCAAATCACATATAATCTATACAAATATTTCAGGAAGTAGGTGTTATTTTTATCCAGTTATACAGGCAAGAAAATTGAGGCACAGTGAGGTCAGTATGGAACTAGAACCGAGGTAGTCACATTTCAAAGATCACAGTTTTAATCGCTACAGTATACTGTCTCTCAGTTAATTCAAAACAATGCACAATTTGAAGAACTACTCTATCCAGGTATTGGTATTAATAAAATGTCCAGTAAAGAGTTGACCACATGAAACATTTCTCATGTTTCAAATGAGATTTTTTTTTTTAATTTCACTAATATTCAGTCTTTCCTATCCACAGATTATCTCCATGAAGAAAGAAATCACGTCCTCTCATTTGCCACCATAAAAATACACCACCGGAAACAGTGATTACCTGGGTAAATGACTACCACTGTTAACATACAATACTTTTTTTTCAGTAGATTCTATTCTCTGTCATATTAAAGGGAGAAAATTCAAGCATATACACTCAGGTAACACATGGCAAATCTATCACAGATTATGTCTGGAAAACTATTAATTATGGGTATGTATGGGGCAAACCTGAGAAGGCCTAGGGGAAAGTTAAAGCTGAGGCAGATTTAAGGACTAACTAAATTTTTGTTTAATTTAAGTATAGTTGGTAAATAATCTTATATTGGTTACATTAGTTTCAGGTGTACAATATAGTGATTAGACATTTTTAGACTTTACAATGTGATCGCCCCGCTAATTCTAGTAATCATCTGTTACCATGTAAACTTACCATGATAACATTGACTAAATTCCCCTTCTCCTTTTTCACTCACCTCTCCACCCCCTCACTTTGGTAACCATCCCTGTGGTCTCTGTTTCTATGAGTTTATTTTTGTTTTGTTTGTTTGCTTTGCTTTTAGATTCCATATATAAGTGAAACCATATAGTATTTGTTTTTTCTGCCTGACTTATTTCACTTGGATAATACCCTCTAGATCCAACCATCTTGTTGCAAATAGCAAGATTTCATTCATTCATTTTTTGTTTTTACTGGTACATAATATACCATTGTATATATACACCACATTTTCCTTATCCATTAGTCTACTGATAGACACCTAGGTTGCATCCGTATCTTGGCTATCATAAATAATGCTACACTAAACATAGGGGTGCATGTATCTTTTTGATTTAGTGTTCTCATTTTCTTTGGTTAAATACCCAAAGTGAAATTGCTAGGTCTTATAGGATATCTACAGGGTGGGGCAAAAGTAGGTTTACAGTTGTTTGTATGGAAAATAATTAATAAATAATAATATAAATAAACTGTTTTTCATTTATCTTCAGATAGAGTGGGGGGGGGGGGAGAGAGAGAGAAACATCGATGTGAGAGACACACATCGAGTGGTTGCCACCCACATGACCTCAACTGGGGCTGGGAACAAACTGCAATTGAGGTACATGCCCTTAGTGGAACCAAACCCGGGACTCTCTGGTCCATGGGCCAAAGCTCTAACCGCTGAGCCAAACCGGCCAGGGCATATAAACCTACTTTTGCCTCACCCTGTATTTATAGTTTTTGTGAAATCTCCAAACTGTTTTCTATAGAGGCTGCACCAGTTTGCAATTCCACCATCAGTGCACGAGGGTTCCCTTTTCTCCACATCCTTGCCAACACGTGTTATTTGTTGACTTTGTGGTAACAGCTATTCTGACTGGTGGGAGGTGGTATCTCATTGTGGTTTTGGTTTGCATTTCCCTGATGATTAGTGATGTCAAGCATCTTTTAATATGTCTGCTGACCATCTGTATGCCTTCTTAGGAGAAATGTCTTTGCATGTCCTCTGCCCATTTTTTGATCAGATTATTTTTTTGGTTATTGAGTTGTATGAGTTTCTCATATATTTTGCATATCAATCCCTTATAGGATATATCATTTGTGAATATTCTCCCAGTCAGGAGGTTGCCTTTTTCTTTTGTTGAAGGTTTCCTTAGGGGCCCAAATTATCGACCACTAAGCTATGCAGACAGTGGTGATGGCCAAAACAATGAAAAACACAACAAAACTGAACAGAGATATCAACAACCACACACTTGTGAACAGATAGGTTGTAAAAACAAAACATACCTATAAAAGAATAAAAACAAAAACCCTAGGGAAGAAACCAGAATCCAGAATCGCTGTGATATATTATCTAAAATGTCCAGTTTTCAATTAAAAAAATTGTAATTCCTGCTAAGAAAAAGGAAAGAAAATTCAGAAAATAAAATTAATTAAAATGGATTATGAGTGGATCCATGTGTTGGATTTAGCTGACAAAGACTTCAAAGCAGCTATTATAAATATGTTCAAATAGTTAAGGCAAATTACAATTTAAATGATTAAAGGAAAATATAATGACAATGACTAAAAAAATAGGAAATCTCAACAGAAAAAGAAAAAGTATAAAAAAAATCAAATGGAAATTTTAGAGTAAAAAAAACAAAATGAAAAATTCACTAGATGGATTCAACAGCAGATTAAGACAGCAGAAGAAAGAATGGATGAATCTAAAGACAAATAGAAAATGACCAATATGAATGAGAGAAAAAATACTGAAGATGAACAGAGCCTCAGAGACCTGTGGGACAAAATAAATAGTACCAACACATATGCACTAAGATTCCCAGAAAGAGAGGAGAGAAAGAGGCAGAAAAATATTTGAGGAAATAATGGCCCCAAACTTTCCAAATATAATGGGAAATATTAACCACAGATTCAAGAAGCTCAATAAATCTCAAGTAGTATAAACACAAAGACATCCATACCTAGATACATCATAGCCAAACTGCTGAAAAAATACAAAGGTAAAGAGAGTATCTTGAACACAGTGAGAGAGAACCATTTGCAAAAGGACCATTCATAAAAGGGAACATCATTCTTTTTCTAAAAAAAATTTTTTTCTTTATTGACTTTAGAGAGAGAGGAAAGGAGAGGGAGAAAGAGATAGAAACATCAATGTGAGAGAACATCAATTGGCCGCCTCCTGCATGTCCCCCACTGGGGATTTGGCCCACAACCTGGGCATGTGCCCTGACCAGGAATCAAACCGGTGACCTCTTGTGCATGGGCCGCATTGGCCACATGGGCCAGGCGGGAACAACATTTGTAATGACTGACTCATCAGAAAAACAATAGCAAAAAATCAATAAAACAAAAAATTTGGTTATTTATAAAGATCAATGAAGTGATGAACCAGAAAGAGAGAAATAAAAATTACCAAAATCAGGACCACCCTACAGAATTTAAAAAGATTAAAATAGAGTATTATGAACAACGTTATGCAACCAAATTAGACAATTTGGTTGAAAAAATGCCTAAAAAGACACCAAATGCCAAACTGACCCGAGAAATAGAAAACCTGATTACATCCATAACAAATTTAAAAATTCAGTTAGGCCCGGCTTGTGTGGTTCAGTGGTTGAGCATCAAGCCATGCATCAACAGGTCGCCAGTTCAGTTCCAGGTCAGGGCACATGCCCAGGTTATCGGCCACATCCCCAGTGGGGGTCATGAAGGACTCGGCCAACTGATGTTCTCTCTCATAGATGTTTCTCTCTCTCTCCCTTCCTCTCTCTCTCAAATCAATGAAGAAAAAAAAAATAAAATAAAAATTCAATTAGTAATTTAAAATATACTCACAAAGAAAAGCCCAGGCTCAGATAGCTTCATAGATGAATTCTATGAAACATTCAAAGATGAATTAATACCAATCCTTCATAAACTGTTTTGAAAAACAGAAGAGGAGGAAACATTTCCCAACTTATTCTATAAAGTCAATATTACCCTGATACAAAGTCAGACAAAGAAATAAAACTACAGATAATTATTCTCATGAATATGGACACAAGAATCCTCCCAAAAATAATTAGGAGAAACATATAAAGTGAATTATATACCATGACTACGTGGGATTCATCTGAGGAATGAAACGTTCATTTAATATCTGAAAGTCAATAATGTAAACCAATATATTA